TCAACAGTTCCACGCGTGCGGGCCTGCTTTCCCCTTGTCAGCCGGTCGAACCCGTCGAACGAGCACCTTGATGACACATTCTGGGGAGCCCTTCAGTTACCTCCCATATTTCCAAATTCAGGTCTAGGGTGTGGAACTTGCCACATAATCACGCAGGACGAAAGATTTTCCTCTCGAGGTGAAAATGGCCATGAGGAGTTCGCGAGACAACGTCGGCGCCGCCGAACGGACGGCGACCAGACGAGCTGTTTGCAGCAACCGGGGTTAGAGGGATGTATGTATTTATGTTGAATGGGGCCCGCTCGCGCGGGGAGTTGATGGGAGTGCGCGAGACGACGCAGCGCCCATCGTGGAAAGTTGATTACCGAACCCCCCATCCCCCGTAGAATCTTAACACGGGCGGTTTGTGGGGTCCGCAGATCCGATTTCTTCCGGTTCCCTGTGTACATTCAATACTATAAATTTAGAACCGGGTAGAAATCGGATCCGCCGTGAAAAGTAAGACCGGACACGGATCCATCTCATCCGAAATCGGATCCGCGCGGACGGAAATCGGATCCACCGAAACACAAACCAAAACCAAAATTGGACCCGCGCGAACTTCATTGGATCCGACGGCATGTTTCTGACACGCGTCTGCTTAAGACTTCAAGCCTTCGCTCCGGGCCCAAGAGGAAAAAACTTTCGCCCTGGGGATGTAACAGTACCTTGCAGTCAAGATGTTTCGATGGTGTTTGCCGTTCGAGCTGCCAAAACCATGTTGCTGTCAGGGTATGATCTGCGTGATTATCCCATAGTCCCCGCTAACACAATAGAACCCCCCGCTGCCGAAACACAGGAACACAAACGACCGCCGCTAGTTTATTGCAGCGCCTGGAGGTGTGATGGAGAAGTGAAAAGGATGGATAATACCTATACGACCACCCTGCGGGTGATAAGGAGGTGAGGGGTGAGGGGGAACCAACGTCTCACTCAATCGATCTCGCTATCGATCTCACAATCGATCTCACATTCGATCTCACGATCGATATCACTATCGATCTCGCTATCGATCTCACTGTCGATCTCACAATCGATCTCACAATCGATCTCACATTCGGTCTCACATTCGGTTTCACTGTCAATCTCACGATCGATATCACAATCGATCTCACAGTCGATCTCACATTCGGTCTCACATTCGGTCTCACTATCCATCTCACTGTCGATCTCACAATCGATCTCACTATCGATCTCACATTCGTTTTCACATTCGGTCTCACTATCGATCTCACAATCGATCTCATTTTCGATCTCACAGTCGATCTCACTACCGATCTCACAATCGATCTCGCAATCGATCTCACATTCGGTCTCACAATCGAACTCGCAATTCGAACAATCATCTCACATTCGGTCATTCGACGACGACGACGACGACGAAGACGACGACGACGACGACGACGAGGCCGTTTTTTTGTGTTTGGGGCCTCAGAGCCCAGCATACAGCACGGCATGACGATAGAGCACGGCACAGAGCCCTGGGACCGGCACGGCACGGCGCGAGCGCCCTCAGGAGGTCGCCGCCCCGAGGTGGGGCAAGGCAGAGAAAGCGGGAGGAAGCCGAGGAACCAAGAGGGAGAGGACGGGAGGGAGGAGGCGAGGAGAGGAACGAGCGGAGGGAGACAACGAAGGAGGACACGGTTCGAGGCGAATCCAGCCGTGGCGACGAGTGGCCGATCTCACAATCGATATCACCATCGACGTCGTCGTCGTCGTCATCATCATCATCACCATCGACATCACCATCAGCATCATCATCATCGTCATCATCATCAGCATCATCATCATCATCAACGTCGTCATCATCATCATCACAATCATCATCACCATCATGGCCATCATCACCATCATCACCATCATCACCATCAGCATCGCACAATCGATCTGATTATCGATCTCACAGTCGAACTCCCAATCGATCTCACAATCGACGCCATCATCATCATCATCGTCATCATCATCACCATCATCACCATCATCACCATCATTACCATCATCACCATCATCACCATCATCATCTCACAATCGATCTGACTATCGATCTCACAATCGATCTCACTATCGATCTCACAATCGATCTCACATTCGGTCTCACTATCGATGTCACAATCGATCTCACAATCGACGTCATCATCATCATCATCATCATCATCAACAACAACACCAACATCATCATCATCATCATCATCATCATCATCATCATCATCATCATCATCATCACATCATCATCATCATCATCATCATCATCATCATCATCATCATCATCATCATCATCATCATCATCATCATCATGGTCATCATCATGATCATCATCATCAGCATCGGGACACCGACGGAACACCGACGGGACACGGGCGGGACACCGGCGGGACACCGCGGGCCACCGGCCGCCCGGAAGAGACACATTTGGTCCGGCCGCGCCTCAGCCACAGGGACACCGACAGGACACCAGCGGGACACCGGCGGGACACCGCGCGCCACCGGCCGCCCGGAAAGAAACAATTTCCAGGGGCCGCCGCCTCAAGCGCACAGGAGACGTTTTTTGTTTTTTTTTTTGTTTTTTGTTTTTTTTTTTTTTTGTTTTTTTTTTTTTTTTTTTTTTTTTTTTTTTGTGTTTTTTTTTTTGTTTTTTTTTTTTTTTTTTTTTTTTTTTTCCCCCCCCTCTCGCCGCCCACGCAGCTTCGCCGCGCCCGCGCGCACGGCACGCACGAACACGAAACCGAAATCGATTTCCGGTAGGTGGGCTCTCCGTTCCACTTCGATCTCAACCCCCTTTTCTTCTTCTTTTTTTTTATTCTTTTTTTTTGATTTCTTATTTTTTTTTCACCTCCGACAACGGGGAAAAGGCAAGGAAAGAATGGTGGAACGAGCATGCTGCGTATGGAATGAATACATGAGGCTCCCAACTTACGTGAATTGCCATTTGATGGTCTTGACCCCGGTGCGAGAAGCCGTATGGTGTCCCCTCCGCTTCCACCCCGTCCCGCTCATAGAGCCTCCGCATCCCCCGTATGTTGGAATGAGCGGCCGGCTTCTCCCTGAGTTGCACGTACTACGCAAGGTTCGCTGGGGGTTTTGAAGTCAGCGAAGGCACTGGGACGGTGAAGCCACCGTTGTTGCGCGCACCTCCGCCAGACCCCGGCCCTGGGCCGCCAAGAGAGCCACGCGGGAATGCAGAGGGGACCTCGGGCGAGGAGCGGTGCGACCGCTTCGCGGCATCGCGCCCCCCGGGGCTCGCATCGGAGGCTGAACTCCGAGCCAAAACCTACGGAGGGGATGGGGGGGGGGAGGCAGCCCTGGGGCGTGCAGGGTGCCGTGGGGTGCGGGTGGGTCTCTGGGTAGCAGGGAAGCCACAGGTTCCGCGGAGAGAGCGCTGTCCCACGCGGTGCAGCTCTATGGGGGGCGTGTTGCTGGACACCTGTGCCTCGTTTTCTGCCCGTGCATTGGAGCCACTGAAGTTTCCATGGGGTCTGCACGTAAGGGAGAGGGAGGACGCAGGATGACGTAGAGAAGGGGAGGGAGGAGGAGGCGGAGGAGGAGGAGGAGGAGGAGGAGGAGGAAGAGGAGGAGGAGGAGGAGGAGGAGGAGGAGGAGCGGAAGGAGGAGGGGGAGGGGGCAGGGGGAGGGGGAGGGGAAGGGGGATGATGATGATGATGATGATGATGATGATGATGATGATGATGATGATGATGATGATGATGATGATGATAATGCTGATGTTGATGCTGATGCTGATGCTGATGCTGACGCTGATGCTGATGATGCTGATGCTGATGCTGATGCTAATGATGATGATGATGATGATGATGATGATGATGATGATGATGATGATGATGATGTTGTTAATGATGCTGATGTTGGTGATGCTGATGCTGATGCTGATGCTGCTGATGCTGCTGCTGGTGATGTTGCTGATGATGATGATATTGCTGATAGTGATTATGCTGATGCTGGTGATGATGCTGATGCTGCTGATGCTGATGATGTTCATGATGATGATAATGGTGATGATGCTGATGATGATGCTGACGACGACGATTATGCTGGTGATGATGATGCTGATGATGATGATGATGATGATGATGATGATGATGATGCGGGTGAGGATGAGCATGAGGACGATGCTGCTGCTGCTGATGCTGGTGATGCTGATGCTGATGATGATGCTGATGATGATGCTGATGCTGATGCTGATGCTGCTGATGCTGCTGCTGATGATGGTGATGCTGATCCTGATGACAATGGTGATGATACTGATGCTGATGATGACGATGCTGCTGCTGATGATGATGATGGGTGAGGACGATGCTGCTGCTGATGATGCTGCTGATAATGATGATGCTGATGATAATGATGACGACGATGGTGCTGATGATGCTGGCGATGACGATGCTGATGCTGCTGCTAATGATGCCGACGATGATGATGCTGATGATGATGCTGATGCGGATGGTGATGATGAGTATTCGGATGCTGCTCATGCTGATGCTGATGCTGATGTTGCTGATTGTGAGCATGGTGATGATGATGACGATGATGCTGACGATGATGCTGCTGACAATGCTGATGCTGCCAATGATGCTGATGATGCTGCTGCTGATCATGGTGATGAGCATGATGATAATGCTGATGCTGATGCTGCTGCTGCTGCTGATGATTATGATGATGATGATGTTTTTTGGGGGGGGGGGGGGTTGATGATGATGACGATGGATGATGATGATGATGATGCTGAGATGATGATGATGATGATGATGATGATGATGATGAGCGATGATGAGGATGATCGAGGTGATGTTTTGATGGTGATGGTGATGGTTGATGGTGAGGTGATGGTGAGGTGATGGTGATGAGGAGGAGGAGGAGGAGGGAGGAGAGGAGGGGGAGGAGGAGGATCATGAGGAGGAGGATGACGAAGAGCAGGAGCGGGCCCTCGACAAACCCCTGCCTGCTGCCAGGTCGGAGGCCCACCTGAATGGGCAGTTGGGCACGGCGATCGCCTGGGCGAGCGCGGAGGAACGCTGGAAGGCCCTCCGGGGTGGCTGTCCGAGGTCCCTCCTCCACGCGTTTCACCTTTTGTTTCCTCCTCCTCTCCCTCCTCATCCTCCTCCTCTCTCCTTCCTCCTCCTCCTCCTCCTCCTCCTCCCTACTCCTCCTCCCTCCTCCTCCTCCTCCCCCCTCCTCCTCCTCCTCCTCCTCCTCCCCCTCTACTTTTTTTTTCCTCCTCCTCCTCCTCCTCCTCCTCCTCCTCCTGCCACCTCCTTCCCCATTCCTCCTGGCTGTGTCCGACGTGGCTGCGTGGTGATCACGCCAAGGCGTCGCGATGGGATTTCTGGAAGTTCGGCTCCTGCTCGGGCGCAGCCCCTGTTTCCTCGCCGAGTCGTCCGAACCAGGGCCGCGCGCGAGCGAGCGCCTTTCATTCGCCAGATGGATTTAGACGCCATTCCAAATTGGCATTTGAGGCGAGACCGATTCACGTGAGGGGGGGAGTGGGCGAGGCCTGCGGACTCATTCGAGATGGCCAGCCTTACCAAATACTCCCGCCCCTTTCGTTTTCGCCTTGACAGCGCCCAAGCGGGGGCTCCGCTCTACCCGCCAATCCACTCGTCGCCTCTTACATTCAGCATTGGCGTTTCATCTACGTCGCAAAATGCGCGGCACGGCCCTGCGTTGAATTTGCGCTTCAACGGATGCGGCTCAGCCTCCGCTGGCACCGTGTTCAGATGAACGATAAGTTCAAGGATCGGGGACCCGTTGGGCCGGAGGGAGGGAGGGAGGGAGAGAGGGAGGGAGGAGGAGGACAGGGAGGACAGGGATGAGGAGGGGGGAGGAGAAGGGTGTCTTCTACCGCTGACTGGTTGGGCCAGTTTTCGACGCGCCAGCACGGGTTGAGGAAGAAGGGGTGATGGATGTTGGACAAAACGTGAGGGGTAGCAATGAGGAGAGGGGAGAAGGTATTGGAGAGATTCCTGACTCCAGATCCGCCCTACTTTGGCTTTTTTCCCACTTAAAATTGCGTCGGAAATCCACTTACAAGAAGCCGAAAAAGTAGAGCGGAAATTTCTGCACCCAACATAAAATAGGGCGAACATCCACAGAAGTAGGGCGGAAACAACAACAGAAAAGTAGGGCGGAAATTGGCATCAGCGGGGCTTGAAAAGTAAGGCGGAAATTCCAAGCCCTACTTACGAATTTCCTCAAAGTAGGGCGGATCCAGAGTCAGGGATGGGTGTCTTTGTGAAAATCAGCACGTAATCGCAGCCGCACCTTGATGATGGTGAGACGGCAGGGGACTGGGAAGCTTGACTCGCCTGGGCTGGCGGATAGGAGGCGGCGTTGCGAACAACCGCTCCTGCCGAACGGTGTTGCGATGTCAGGGCGACGCGGAGGCTGACCTCGATCCCGACGTCGCCAGTGCGTGGTGGACGCATCGGCGACGCGGTGCGGTCCTTCGGCCTGTGTTCGCCTGTCGCGCGGCCATCGTTGTCATGGCGCCCAGCCCTTCTTAGACAAAAAAATGTGTGACCGAAACAATTATATGACTGAAAACGTGCTAAACTGAGTGTGACCGAAATTGCGACCGAAGCTGACAAGCGGGCTGGGCTCGAGCCAAACAGTTCGGTCACATTCGGGCGTGGTCGGAAGATTTCGGGTGCCGGTCTTGGTCGTACTCGGGCATGCTTCCAGGCCCATCTTCGGCTACTACACCCCCCGAGGCTACGCGATCGTTGGCCTCCCTTCGGGAGACGGCCAGGAGGCGGGCCGTCGTTTGGACAACCAGAAGGGCATAGACATAAGCTTTCGGAGCTTCTCGCGGATTTCTTGGATCGGCGCTGGGATCCCCTCCCTGGCGCGCTCCGCGCGCCAGGGGCGGCGCCAGAGGCGCCGCCAGCGGGGCCCAGCGCCGATCCAAGGAATCCGCGAGGAGCTATGACAAATTATGTTTGTGCCGTCTTTTGCTCCACCAGCCGTGCCGTCTTTTGCTCCACCAGCCGTTCCAGGTCGGCTCGTGTGGAGTTCCTGGTATGCCTGGCGACCTTTAGCTTCGCATTGTGACGTCAGCAACGGCGAATCGA